TTCGTGGAAAACACAAATCACACACACACACACAAATGTATTCAATCGACTTTGAACCACTCCGCCACCCTTCGCAAGTCACAACCCTATTTTTTCCCTTATATTTTTATGGATGGTTTTTTTTTTGTGGGTACCTATTTTTCCATCGTATGCGTTACAAAATACGTTATATTTTTTTTCTCTATTGCCCTCTCCCTCTCCCTCTCTCTCTCTCTCTCTCTGTCGGTCTGTGGATACACACATATACCTACCAAAATTATTTTACACAGCATACCTACCCATACGGTTTTCGTTATTATTCAAAGTCCAAAAGTATAAAAAAAAAAAATAATAATAAAAACAGCCGCCGCCGCCGCCTTGTTCGCCCTCCGCAAAAATCAATACGACACCCTCGCCCCTCCATTTTCGTAAACGCCGGGACACTCTACTCCTCCTCCTCCTCCTCCTCCTCCTCAATCGACTTAACCGAGGGAGGGCGTGTATATTTACAGAGGGGTTGGCAGCCTCCCACGCCAGCGTACAACCGGGGCGGCGGCGGCGGCGGCTAGCTTACAGAGAAGTCGGTCGCCGTCGTCGTGCTTTACTATATACATGTTACTACTACTACTAATAGTATTAGTACTATTAAAACTTCCATATATATACTACATTACAACAGCCATCAATACCAAAGAGATGGGCCAATTTCCAACGCATCCATTTAAGATTTTTAGAAAATTGAATTTCGAGCTTTACCGTCAACAATAATTTTAATGTTTTTTCATTCTTATAATTCCTTTTAACTATTTACAAAATTGGAAATTGTATAAACTGTTTGTAAAATTGACTATGAACGTTACCAATCAATATTTTCCAATTATTTTGTATTTTATATTCAGAAATTTAAAGGTCGTTTTGTGTCGTGTTTTACACTATTAACATACCTGATATTTATATATCTTGTTTTTTTTAATATTTTAATATGTACCTACTTATTTTTGACTGAAAAATTCAACCATTGAAAACATGTATTTTAAATTACCATGTTGAATATTTTTTTTTTAAACGAAAAAAAACTGTAGTTAGGTACATATTAATTGAGATTTAATTATGAATAGGTTTTTGTTGAAATAAAAAAAAATTTACATTATGGTCAGATTTGATCCAAACGTGTTGGGAAAATACAAATTATCATCAGAAAAATAAAATAAATTGGTACATTCAGTTTTGACGGAAAATGGGTTTTTATAAAATGTAAAATATTAATTTAAGAGTTTGAGAGAAACACCTTTTGTGTAACTTATAACATCATTTTCACTAAATAAATGACTTTATGTTTTTATTATATTTTATTGGAAAAAATATAATAATTAAAACAATATGAAATAGATGAACGAAAAGGCGAAATAAATAAAACGCAAGAGAAAAAGATAATCGAGAAATAACATTATACTAGTTGTTAAAAACATAATTAAACGATAAACGAACGTTTATCAAATTATATTTGACGTTAACAGCGACCATAAACAATGAAATTAATTACTTTCACAAGCCCTGAAATCGTTACTTAATAAAACTTGTTTGTAATAATTGACTTGAATGGATACTAATTAAACGAACTATTCATAATACCTAATAGCATTTAAAACTATTCGACAAAATAATGTTGAATTCTCAGCGTTAATATGGTTCATTCATTTGTAATTTTAACTGCTTTGTACGCAAATGGATAAATCACTCAGTCTAATGGCCCATTAAATATTTCACTCTGATTTACATCTTGCATATTTTGTAAAGAATTAAGCGAGTATGATAAAAATTGTCTTATATCTTTTTGGTTTTAACCCAAAAATCAATTACGAGCCGGGCATTTAATTATTATTTGGAGCTTGGACATTATAGTGTTAAATTTAAAAAGGATTTAACGCTCAAATTTATATTTCAACTGTAAACAAATTTGTTATTTTTCCACCAACAGCAATTATATTTTCTACAAAACAAGTTCGATAAAGGAAATGATTTTTAAACGAACATTATTTTTACGATCATGGTTTTTGAACCAAATTTAATTAAATTTAATTTTGCATTCACAAATCAGTTGAATAGATATTTTACTTGAAAATAAATTCAAAGTTGTCAGGCATAAAAAATGTCAGACACTTAACAGTGCCGGCCTAGGTTTCCCTTCTGGTTATTCCGTGGTATTACCACTGAGTAGGTTAAATCAGAAGGACACCTTAGTGTAAAACAAATGGATGGAAACCTAACATTACATCTGTACACAACAGCTAATGTATAGATATAACATTTTGCTGACTCGATAAATGAGAAGATGGCCTCGACGTTTTTTAGTGATAATCAAATGCACAGTGTTAAATATTGAGCGTCCACCCCTGCTGATAACGCAGCCGTGGTAATAACGATTGTGAAACCGTGGTTACCAGCTTTCGACGGTAACCGCATACCTGGTAAAGGGAATATGTTTGCGCGTAAACCAAAGTTTGTAAATACGTGCAATTTTCCATCAATTTTATTATTTTAAAACAATAACGCAGCTCGCCAAGTAATTACATCTTGAAAATGTTTAATTGACAAAATTATAATAAATTATAATATTCGGTTATTTAATGTGTACGTACAGTCTTCGTAGTTAGGTTAGGCTAAACAAAACGCAATCGAGCGTTGGACGATTTCTACGGTTTTTTTTTTTAAAAGGTCACGTATATCACAAATTGTATATATATATATATATATATATATATATATATATATATATATTATTCATCTAAGTATAAGAAAAACATGTGTTACTTTTTTTTTTAACGGTTCGTCCATCGTCAGGCCAAAATCCACGTCATCATACTCGGGTCACGGTCGTCACGGCAAACGGTTGCCGTTTAATTATAATTATTACACTATAAATAATGATTATTACTATTATTGTGTGTGTGCAATGTGCATGATTGGAAACGTTTTATTATTATTATTTTTCTTTCTCTTTCGATAATCCGATAAAAAGCCCAGTACGATAAAAAAAGAAAATCTAATAAAAAAAAAAAATGTATATTTACATAATTATGAATAAAAAACAAGAAAACTACCCCTCGAGTCGACGACAAAGTAAGAGTGTAATATTATTATTTTGTATATAACGTACATTTATATACAAATTGTTATTATGCGGCACGTTATAATAATAATATTATTATTTCTTGCTCCGGGCAAAGAAAAGTCGACAAGCGAGAAATCGAAGAAGCCAAAAATAAAATCGGTTCGTTCGCAGAAGAATACCGGAAAAGAAGAAAAAAAGCACCAGAGCCGGGAGCGAAGGATTTCCATATTATTATAGAGAACATGATAAGTGAAAAAAAAAACACATTTTTCTTATTGTATTACTGGAAAACCTTTAAGCCACACACTGCGGTCGGCCGTTTGTTTATTCGGTCGAGGACTTTTTGCAAAAGCCATATTAACGAAGGCAACGGCCGTCCTCGGCTATAGTACGGATTCGCATTGTTATTTGTGCGTTTCACAAAAATACATAACATTATTATAAGCCGTTTATTTTGGTTTTTTTAATTTTACTTATATACTAGTAATAATTTTGGTACAGAACGGATACAAAACGTCATGACGGGTTTTAAATCATCGCCCTGTAGTCGGCAGCTGAGTCGGTGTGTTATCAGTACATAGATCAAGTACATGTCGTTATCACTACATTGATAACGGCTGGTTGGTAAAATGCAATAATTGTGTGCTCGACAAACAACAAACCGAATGAGAATAAAAATTGAGAGGAGGTCTCATTCGCCGAAAATCCATGCCGGTAATCCCGACTGTACACGATATTGCCATAATACTTACATATTATACTTGATAATATAATGTTATTGAGATTCAAAATATGGCTGGTATTTCGATTAAAGCATACTTTAGAAAATAAAACGCTTTCCGTTTTAGAAATCCGACTTTGTTATAGTTGGCAAACAAACAGAAAACCCACACAGTTTTTACTCAAAAAAAAAAAAATATATGTTTTATTGGGTTCACTCGAAAAACTAAATTCGCCCAGGCTTTTTGAAAGCCGTTGCCGAAAGTAGAAATATAGTGATTATTTTCTAAATTAAACTTTTTATATTATATTGATGAAAAAAAGTTTGCTGATAATAATATTTGGTAATCGGTTTTCTACACCTAACCTATCCTATTTTTATGACTAAAAAGGCTGGTTGCAAAACAATTTTGAAATGTTTAATAAAATTCCAATGTTCTAATTGTTTGTTAATATTATTATTGTAATAATAATTATCATAATATTGGAAACGGCCGTCGACGGCGATGGCGGCCATTATTGTAAAAGGTGACTCGGTCAATAACGTTTGGCTGTCGATGAAGATAATAAAAATTGTTTACCCATTTTATTTTGTTCGCTTTTTGAAAACCGAGTAGGTATAAAATAATCGAATTATAGTAATAATAATAATAATAATAATATTCTTGGCCAAACAAACCGTCTCCGGGCGGAGAGGTAGTAAAAACGTTGGCATAGACCGTATCGATAAAAACATTTAAAAAAAAACCTTTCGCATAATAATATAATATTATTACACACACACGAGTCCATCCGTCGGTTTATTTATTTGTTTTTTTGCATATCGGCCAAAAAGAAAAAAAAACCCCAGTCATTATACCTACCTACGGTTAGGTTTGCCAACAATACTGTGTTACCGGCAAAAAAGGGTTAACGACGACGGCAAACGGATGTGTATGTGTGTGTATCAGGCATATTGTATTATTATTATCGCCACAAAAAAAGCGACAATGCAAATCGCACGAATAAAAAATTATAATATTATAAACCGTGTTTGTGTGTGTGTTATATTTAATTATCGTGCGTTATTTTATTAAATATATATTTTACGACTTAATCGTACTACGACGATTTTGCTCGGCTATAAAAATATAATTGCATGTAAATAAAAAAATTAAAAATAATAATAATAATTGCAACGTTCACTAACCTTAAAATATTATGTATGTCGGCTATTTTTTTTTTATACGAGTATAATAATATATTATTCGTCTCTCCGTCGATCTCGTGTGTGTTGTTTTTTTTTTGTCGATTTTGCCGTTATCAGTGAAAATATTTCTTCTTATCACACCGTGATCGCCGGCGGTGGCGAATGTACACGAACGTGTGCGTGGGCTAAATAATATTAGTTTATTATACGGAAAACGAACGTCGGTCAATAGTTTATAATATTATATATTACGAATATACGCAAACTCGGTAAGTTGTAGAATAAAAATTGAAAATTCAATTAAAAAATGTTATCGTTCCATTTTGGACAGAAAAAAAATTCATAACAGCCATTAGGTTTTATCAACATCAATATTAAAACATTGAAAACAACGGTTTGGCGTCCTGTTCGAACATGGTTGCAGTGGTGTACATACACACACACACACCGTCGTCAACAATAATAATATTATACTTTTTGTACACAATGAAAATAATAATTAAAGTGTGATAATATTAGGAATTTTTTTATATACACACACGGACACACACACACACATTCGCATACGAACACACACACAGACACACTAGTTCGTTTGAACGTGTACAGACTGACACACTCACACACACACACACAAGCGCGCGCAGGTCGGACGGTTGAACGCGGTCTCCGGCGGCGGCGGCGGGACCAGTACTACTACTACTATAGCGGGCGTTCGTACCTACCGTGTGTGTATGTGTGTGCACCGTGTGCGTGTGTGTACGGCGTATGTGTGTGTGTGTGCGCTGGATGGCTTTGGCTTTGGCCGGCCGGCCGACCGGCTGGCTGGCTGGCTGGCTCACCGCGAGCGCACACACACACACACACACACACACACGCGCGCACACACGGTTATATTACCCTACTCCACCCCGCCACCCCCCCCCCTGGCCCATCGGTGTTCGCCGGCGTCTCATCGCGGCGGCGGCGGCCGCGCCCTACCCCGACGGCGGCGAGTACCCACCCCGCGCTGCCCCCGCCACGACCAGCTACGGCGCGGCGGGGCACCGCGCGAATCATTGCGGCCGGGTCGCGAGCGCTGGCACCGGCACAGGCAGCAGTATTGCCAACCTTCGACCGGCCGACACCGCCGCCGCCGCCGCCGTGTGATAACACACACACGATTAACGCGGGCTTCTGCGTCGAGTTTGATTTATTTCAGGCGTTAAAAGCTTGTCTTAAATAATATCTCGGATCTCATACTTAACACAAGATAAACGACGACTTAAGTGTGGTCTCGACGCGTTGAAATTAAAACGTTCGTCAGGCCCCGGACACTGATCATTACCCATTAACAATACATGTACAGACATTAATACTAAACTTGCAGTTTATACAACACTTTTAAAACCCATAATATGGAATAAATATACGGCCTTGAGAAAATTAACTAATGCACCTCCTTATTTATTTCATTGTATACTCCATAATGACCTCAGCATAAAAACAATCCACGAAGAAACCATTTCCTCCTAGAAAAGATTCCAGAATAAGTTACTCTCCCACTCTAACCTTTCAACCTTGACGATACCTGCGCAAGTGGTGTCGTGATCTGTTTTTTAATAATAGTAATAACAGTTAGAATTAGAATGAATAAATAAGTTAAATATAAAAATTAAAATCATGGTTAGTGTCACTAATGTCTTTCTTCAAAATTATATTCATGTACTTACTCATACGCTTAATATTGTGCTTATTATACAGATTGTGTAATTCTTCTTTTAAATAAAAAAAAAAAACAAACATTTGTGTTTAAGTGTGCTTTGTATTCAAGTTAAAGTTTAAGTTATCTAAAAATAACGACGATAGAATAAATAATGATATTTTAAAATAATAAGTTGTTTGAAATAAATTTATATTTATCACGTCAAATGATTTTTCCGTTTAAAACATATTTGTACTTAAAACAATAAATAATAATTTGTTTGTTAAAATACATTTTTGTTTGACTATTTAAAATAACTTGTACCCGATAAAAAAATTATCCTCTTGTGACATTTTACTTGAACTGTATGTATTTAACACTGAAATGTATTTAATAGGAATTATATTCAATTTTGTATATAGTAATTGACAGTGGCACACAAGGATATTTTAGATCCTCCTTTGAGTGTTTAAGATTAAGCCCATTTTTCCGTCGAAAATATGAAATTTCAAACAGGAAGCTGTATTGACTTTTTACATTGTATTTATTATTTTAGTTTTTTATTTAACTTCGTTTTAATTTATTAAATTAAAGTAAAATACACATTACTGTGATGATAATACGTTTGTATAGGAACTAAGTATACCGAACAGGCGGAATCCGCTTTGATATAAAACGTTTGGTACGTTTTATTTGCACGAGTAAATAATCGCACATTATCCGCTTACCATTTTCCAATCTGTTTAATGATGAAAAAGGATTTTCTGTAGAAACCCGTCCAGTTCAATTTTAGGCAAAACCGTTTTCAGAAAAGGTCCTGAGATCTGCCGTTAATAATTCTTCATAATTAGTCATATAAACACAAAACTTTGTACAGAATTTATGTGTACACTAATAACCTATGCAAAAGTTTTGGAAAGACTTTGAAGTTCAGTGAAATTCCAAACACAATAGCGACGTCACGACGTTTTATTTGTAACCAAATGGCTGCTTCCGAGAAGTCACACGAAAGAAGTTTGCAACGTTCACACAGCTTGTACGGTATGGTGGATAATCTTAAGATGTTCAGGCACACCTTACAGCAAAGGTCTGTGGTAAAATTGCAAATAAAACCAATTAAAAGTCCACACAGGAAAACAACACTGTTAACACGGTTCATCTCTTTTTCAATTTAAAATCACTGCGCTCTGAGAACGTTCTGAACGTTCCCGGCTTGTATAGATTAATCTTAAGATGTTCAGATGCACACATAACCACAAAAGTCTATGATATCAATGCAAAAAAAAAGCAAACTAAGAATCCACAAAGGAAAACAACACGGTTTATGTGCCTACAATAAAATCGTTATCCGTTGATTTTTTGCTTGTGAGAAGTTTGTTGCAATTTCATTTTTCTAACCGTCTAACTATGGAAAGTGATTAAATGTATGTAAAATAATTTTAATGTAAGACGTGTTTTATTTTGGAAATAATTTGTAATTTATCTTCTTTAAAAAAAAAATATAATATTCACACATTTTCCAATCGATTAGTCAACATTTTTAGTACCTAGATTATTCTCAACTTTTCTGTTACCATTTTTTATTTGATTCATTCAAAGATCTCGAGTAATATATAATATGTGGATCGAGGAAAACCCCAAAATGACAAATAGCACCACTATAAACACATGTATTGTCTATAGCATTATATTAAATATTCACATTTTACCATGAAAGCGTCTAATTGAAAGTGATTTCTCTAAAAAAAAAAACTATAAAAGAAAAAAAACCAAGTATTCATAAAAAGAAATTACATTAAAAATAGGTAATCGAAACGGCTTGTATAGATAAATCTTAAGACGTTCAGACACACCTTACAGCAAAAGTCTCTGGTAAAATTGCAAATAAAACCAACTAAAAGTCCACATAGGAAAACAACACGGTTACAGAATAAACTTTAAAGGGCCAACGAGCACGTGCAGTGCTGTGTTGAATTATTATTATTGTGTTCTTCGCACAAAATACGTTTTTTTTGTTTTGTTTGGTTACTTTTCTTTTTACAGTCGACACCGAGAAGAGAGTGTTTTGGTTTAACAATGATGTGTTTATTTATTTCCTTCTTTCCGGTGAACCGATTCTTTCGCGAAACGAAATTGATCACAAATCGTACCAGAAATAAGCTATATCGAGGCAACAATACAAAACGGTTCATCTCTTTTTAAATTTAAAATTACTGCATAGACAAACAGATATTTTGTTTATTTTGCTTTCTTAAAATGAAAAAAGTGTAAATGTACAGAGAGAATAGGAAAAAGCTGTATTATGCATGATGCAAATCATAGTTCTAGATAAGACGTTGTTTATCAGGGTGCCAAGGGAGATATTAAAATGAGAAAAGCAATTTTAGAAATTGCATATTAGTTTGAAAGAGTATTTGATATTTACTTCTTGTATAATTTTCTATTGATACGCGTTTCGATTAACTATTATTAGTGTAATTTTTTTTTATAAATATTTGATTTTTTCCTTTTATAGTTTTTTTTTTTTAGAGAAATCACTTTCAATAATTAGACGCTTCTATGGTAAAATGTATATGTTTAGTAAAATGTTATAGACAATACATGTGTTTATAGTGGTGCTATTTGTCGTTTTGGGTTTTCCGGTTATGTATTACTTGAGATCTTTGAATAAATCAAATAAAAAATGATAACGGAAAAGTTGAGTATAATCTAGGTACTGAAAATGTTGAATAGTTGATAAGAAAATGTGTGAATATTGTACTTTTTTTTAAAAAGAAGATAAATTACAAATTATTTCCAAAATAAAACACATCTTACATTAAAATCTTTTACGTACATTTAAACCACCTTTCATAGTTAGACGGTTAGAAAAATGTAATTGCAATAAACTTCTCACAGGCAAAATATCAACAGATAACGATTTTATTGTAGGCACATAAACCTTGTTGTTTTCCTGTGTGGACTTTTAGTTGGCTTTTTATTGCATTGATATCATAGACTTTTGCGGTAATGTGTGTGTCTGAACGTCTTAAGATTAATCTATACAAGCCGGGAACGTTCAGAACGTTTTCAGGCGCAGTGATTTTAAATAAAAAAGAGATGAACCGTGTTAACAGTGTTGTTTTCCTGTGTGGACTATTAATTGGTTTTATTTGCAATTTTACCACAGACCTTTGCTGTAAGGTGTGCCTGAACATCTTAAGATTATCCACCATATCGTACAAGCTGTGTGAACGTTGCAAACTTCTTTCATGTGACTTCTCTGAAGCAGCCATTTGGTTTCAAATAAAACGTCGTGACGTCGCTTTTGTCTTTGGAATTTCACTGAACTTCAAAGTCTTTCCAAATCTTTTGCCATAGTTTGTTTGTGTACACATAAATTCTATACAAAGTTTATGACTAATTATGAAGAATTATTAACGGTTTTGCCTAAAATTGAACTGGACGGGTTTCTATGGGAAATCCTTTTTATCATTAAACAGATTGGAAAAGGGTAAGCGGATAATGTGCGATTATTTTCTCGTGCAAATAAAACGTACAAACGGTTTATATCGGAGTGGGTTTTATTCAGTTACACTTAGTTTGTACAAGATTATTATTTTTATTATTATCACAGCCTCGAGTATTAGAGATGTGTGCGAAAAGTATTAAGAGAGGTCTTCAGTTCGAAGGATTTTTATATTGTTCTGAAAATTGCAGTATAAAAACTATATTTTATTATACAAATACTATAAAACAAATGTATTTTACTTAATTTCAAAAGCTACCACCGTTTTATGGGCTTCGTTGAATCCGAAGACTATTTGTTTGATTGGAATAAGATGATGATGAGGGCAAAACGACAATTCCTGGATAAAATATGATTGATAAGAGAATGGGCTGATCATAAGACACGATTATGGTCCAACGAATGTCGTATGAATAGATTAAAAGACGTAATTAATAAAATATCCATAAAAAAAAATATAGTTTGTCAAAAATTACCAACAAATTTTCTAGAACATATTATTATTTTAAGCCATTGCA